AATCGATCAACATAATGGATCGCTTCAATCAGCAATGGCTAAAATCACTCACTGCTAAGTTGCTAAATAATTAGTAATTTTTATACACTTACAAACCAAAATAAAATAAAGCAAAGCAAAACAAAAAAATTAAAATTAATACTTATTTTGTTTTCAGATTTCTGTATAGCAGTATGATTTAAAAAAGTGGATATAATAAAAACTTATTGGCAAAAATTTATTTAAACGTTCATATGAAATTATTACTAAAAAACTTGAAAGTGCTAAAACCCAAAAGAACAAAACGTTGAAAATAATTATTTTTTTAAAAGAAAAAAAAAATTTAATCAATGTAACAAAGTAATTTATTCTTTAATTGCGATGCATTAGATGGTTACGTAAAATTTTAGCCGCTCGATCAATGATGTAATTGTTTCGTCAATGGAAAATGATAATTGTATTCATCCAATGGGAAGTGGTGGGGGAAATTAGTAAACCTGTTCTATTAATACCATTACCTCTTTAGAATTTTGGTCTTTTCAGCCCATTTTATTAAGATAACAATTTCCAACACTATATATTACACTAACATCATCCATCTTTCAGATTTTTGACGATAAATGCATACCTTATGTTTGTTCTTTTTAACCCAAATTCTATTGTAATATCAACATCCAACTCCATCATCGTTATCTACTCCTTTTGATTTGATTTATATCAATTCTAGTTCATTTGATAACAATATCCAATTCAGATTACTGAATACCTTATTTTGTTTGTCCTTTTTAACACCAACCTACTCCAATAATAATATCCAATCTAGGTATTTCATCAGCTCCACTACCATACAGATATTTGGTCTTTTCAACTTCAGCTCCATTAAGGTAACAATATACAACCAATTCAATTATGATAACAATATCCATCATTATAGTTCTACTAACATCACTCATCTTTCTATCTTTGCAATAAGTGAATTCCTTATTTTCCTGTTTCGACTTCAATTCCATTGTAATAACAGCTTCTAACCAGAATTTTCTACCAGCACTATACATTTCTGCTGATCCTTGATCCAATTTTCTATTATAATAACAATCCGGAATTCAACAGTAACCCACCTCTGCAGATTTTTGATAGAAAATAAATGCTTCATGTTTATCCTTTTCAAATCTAACTCCATTCGATAATAAAAACCCAGTCTAGAATGTTTTATCAGCATTATCGTAACAATATCCACTGCGAATTTTTATTAGAATAGCATGTCAATAATGCTTGGTTAAACGTGTTACAGATTAGAGTTAGAGTTTATACCAAGGTCCCAAAAGTTCCTATACATGGTCTTTTTTTTTCAAATGTTGTATAAATAACCATTGCGATCTCTATATATAAGGCCACTTTAAAAAAAAAGTTATTATGTATAAGAACTTTTGGGATACCCGGTATGTTAGTATAGAGTTGTGGTGAAATTTTGTAAATTGGTGAAGCTAAATATAATACTCGATGAGAAATTCAAGTTGAAACTATTGTAAAACTCAAAATTAGGTTTACTTGTAACTTTAATCGATCTGTTAATTTTGATCAAATATATATATATTGTAAATTGTAATATTGTATATTAAATATTGCCACATGATATAATGTTATGTTAATAATAAATATATAACATGACTGGCGGAGTTTCAAACTCCGTTTCGGCGGAGTTTTAATTTTGCTAATTTTCCTTGAAAAGAAAATTAAGTAGTGAAAATTGAAAAAACCACTTTAATAATCCGGGTTCGCAGGAATGCGAAATGGCAAAAGTCACGTGATGCTGCCACTAAGGCGGACTTTAAAAATCTCCGATTAACGGAGTTACTTATGATACGCTAGTCTCTGTCACAAAAAAAATAACGGGCCCCATGAAATACCCTGCTGATACAGGGGTATTTCATGGGGCCCGTTACTTTTTTTTGTAACAGAGATTAGCATATTATAAGTAGGAAGACTAGTTTATAAGACCCGGTCAGTGACTGGGTTCGAGTTTCTAATTTTTTGCTAATTTTTAGACCTCAATATTATTAGTTTATAAGACCCGGTTGGTAACTGGGTTCGAGTTCCTAATTTTTTGTTAATTCTTAGGCCTTAACAGTATTAACTCTTAGGTCTCATTAAACCTGGTCCTTGACCGGGTTTGAGTTTCTAATTTTTTTCTAATTCTTAGACCTTAACGTTATTAATTCTTAGGCTTTAATGTTATTAGATCTTAGGATCTGAATTTCGAGTTTCTAATTTCTGCAGACCCAGTCCTTGACCGGGTTCGAGTTTCTAATTTTTTGCTAATTCTTAGGTTTTAATATTATTCGATCTTAGAACCTGGTTGTTGCTCAGATTTAAGGTTCTAATATTTTGCTAATTCTTAGGTCTAAATTATATTATCTCTTAGGACCCGGTTGTTGCCCAGGTTTAAGTTCCTAAGTTTTTGCTAATTCTTAGGCCTCAGCATTATTATAGATCTTAATATTATTAGCTCTTAAGACCCAGCTCTTGACTGGGTTCAAGCTTCTAATTTTTTGCTAATTCTTAGACCTTAATAAAATTGGCTTTTAAATTATATTAACTCTTAGAACCCGGTCATTGACTGAGTTCGAGTTTCTAATTTTTTGCTAATTCTTAATTGTTGCCTGAGTTTATACTTTTAATTTTTGCTAAGTCTTAGGTCTCAACAACATTAGCTCTTAAGACCTGGTCATTGCCCAGGTTTGAGTTTCTAATTTTTTACTAATTTTTAAGCCTTAACAATATTAGCTTTAAATTTAAATTATATTAACTCTTAGAACCCGGTTATTGCATGGATTTAAATTTTTAATTTTTTGCTAATTCTTAGATTTTAATAATATTAGCTCTTATGCTTAAATTATATTAACTCTTAGGACCCAGGCATTGTCTGGGTTTAAGTTTCTAATTTTTAATTTTTTAGTTTCTTAATATTTTTTTAAAAATTAAATTTTTTATTTTTTTATTTTATTTTATTTATTTTATTTTATTTTATTTATTTTTATTTTATTTTATTTTATTATTTTATTTTTTTTATTTTTTATTTATTTTTATTTATTTATTTATTTTTTTAATTATTTTATTTTTTTTATTTTTTATTTTTTTATTTTTTTATTTTTTTTTCAAAATTTCAAACTCCGAATAGGCAGAGTTTGAATTTTTTCAATTTTGTGGGAATTCGAATTCACCACTTGGTCGGAGTTTCAAACTCCATTTCGGCAGAGTTTGAAACTTCTTCAATTTCACAGGAATGTGAAATCTGAAGTCATGTGACTTCATTGGAGTTTAAATTTTTCTTTCTCAATTCTTCTTTCGCTGTTTCTATCTTTCTTTGCTTTTCGCTCTTCTCTCCTTTTTCTCTCCTTCCCACTCTCTTTTCCCACTTTTCTTTCCCACCCCTCTTTCTTTTTCTCTCTCTGTCCCACACCCTTCCCCCACTTCTCCACTCCCACACTATTTTCCCCTCCCTCGCTGTCCCTCCCTCTTCCTCCTTCTTTCGCTTTTTCTTTAATTTAAAAAAAAATTTTTTTTTTTTCTTGCACTACTATCTGGCAAGTCTCCATCACTAATTTAATTTACTGACGTTTTTGCCTGCTTCACAAGCAAAAAACGGCACTTTTTTTAATTAGTGACCAAGACTTGCCAAATAGTAGAGGGTGGACTAGCTCTTAAGACCTGGTCGGTGACCGGGTTTGAGTTCCTAATTTTTTGCTAATTCTTAGACCTTAATATTAATAATTCTTAGGCCTCAATATTATTAGCTCTTAAGACCCAGTCCTTAACCGACTTCGAGTTTCTAATTTTTTGCTAATTCTTAGGCCTCAACATTATTAATTCTTAGGCCTTAATATTATTAGCTCTTAGGACCCGGTCA